TCAAGGGCGTTCGTGTCTTATCTCCTAACCAGGGTTGAGCTGGTACGCCCAGTGGCAACGCAGGGTCCATGACGCTTTTACTTTGGAGATGTTCCAGTCACAATCGAACAAGAATTTTGTATGACACTCACATGCTGAATTGTTCATTCCAGTCCCCAAGAGAGGTAGATAGATACTGCCCGGAGATAAACGAACTCCAACAAGTGCTCAGCGACAGTCGGTCCGAGTAACCGCAGCCAACTGGGTCCGCTTCACCATCTACCTTGGTTTCCTGTCTACCAGTCTCTTAAATTGAATGAATATGGATCTCATGAATATTCAATTTCTACTCCGTAGATAGTCCAATTCGATATCTCGAAGAATGGGAAATTGGAACCTACAGTAGTAATAATAGGTACCCGATTATCATGGACCTGTCAGATACCTGTATTGCAGCAGTTCGTCCTTTTCCCTGCCACATATTGACTGGTGGGTTTCTGATCGGATGAAGCGGGTAATACCGTGTATCGAACCGGTCAGGTCAGGTATGAATTACGCTAAGAAAAGTTACTAACTGTCCTTGGACCCCCCGGCCCCACTCTAGCCAGCAGAGCAACCAATCAGTGTCTGTTGCCCTCCACACATTCACCCTTCTCCTCCTCTTGCTTTAGCTCTCTCGCTGCCTTTCCTCTCGCTCTGCCCGTCATTCTCTCCGCCCGCAAATCAGCCTTTCCTCCTCCTTCCTTTCCGTTGCTTCATCTCCGTCTTTTCTTTTTCCTGTTAATCTGCTAGTTCTACCAAGTCGTTATTCCCTCCTCTTCACTTCTCATCCTCATCCTCATCCTCAACCTCACCCTCATCTCCTCTCTTTCTTTTTCTCGCTTCCTTTTGCTCTTTTCTTCTTTTCCCCCTCCCCCCCTCTTCTCGTCTCGCAATTCCTCCCTCTGGCCCGTTCTTGTGGCCGTCCGCTCCTTAACCAAATAACACTTCAGGATCTGCGCTGCCATCAACGATTCCGGTCGGATTTGGACTTTCTGCTCGTATCGCCTTACTCAAATCGACTCGACTGTTGGATATTGGAACTGCAGCCCTAGGAGTTTTTTTTTTTCGACTTATCTTCTCCTTCGTTATTTCCCCTTTTCTGTCTTCCGCGGACCGAAACTTGACTTTGATTGGGGTCGTCGTCATCGAGCTTGTGGAATCTTTCAACACATTCAATGGTGTCTTTGCGAAGGTGAAGACCTCCAGACATCGTCAGGCTTTCCAATATACTGAAGGAAAGTCACTTTGGTCTGGAGGTCCCTGTGCGTCTGGATCACATCAACTGTGGATTTCTTCTTTTCACGGAGTTCGGCGGATTGTTGTTTTGGCCAGCCGGTAGTGCTGTCCACTGCTAATCATGGCTTCGATCTCTCTGCCTCTGCCACCTCAGTCTCCTGCAACCTTGCCTCAGCATTTTGATTCGCCTGGCCAGTCTCCCAGCCGACACCCCCGTCGCAATTTAAGCATGGCCTCACCCCTTCCTAACCCACCATTCGTCTTTCCGGCTCGCGACCCAGAGGACTTGAATATTCAGCCGTCAGCAGCCCCTGAGCCAAGAAGCAGAATTCCTCCACCTCTACCAGCCTTCTCCTTCAACCCGGGGTCGACCCACGCCACACAATCCTCAGTATCCGCAGTTCCTCCGACTCGAGCGGGTGGACACCGTCGGCGACCTAGTGAATTCATCGGAGGAGATCAGTTAGTCACTTCGGGAGGAACGGAGACCGGTCAGGGCAACGATGAAAACTCATTGCCAGCTCCTGCTAAACTCCCTACTCCTGGCCCTGGGTTCAGTGCAGGTGGGCCCGGACGACGTCACCATGCCCATCGACGATCAGCAGCGGTCTCTGGCGTAGATCTTGCGGAAATAACTAAAGCGCTTGCGTCGAAACCGGTAGGAAGTGCACCGCCGACCCCGGCAGATCCGAAGCGTGAAAACGGCGCACATGACGACCAACACAGGCCCATCTCCTACTCAGCGACCGGTCTGAGCCGACCAACACCCCCAGCCTCTCCCCGGATTCCATTCGCTGGAACCTCGCCTCATCGAGCTAAGTCTGAGTCCCCAGATCGTTCTTCTGCTAGTGGACGACCAGTTTTGCCGGTCATGTCGAAGAGTCCTGGAACCATGGGCTCCCACCAGTCACAGCCGGTTGCTAGAAATAGCGGAAAGTCTGGTAAAGCTGGTTTCCTCGCTACTAATGAGGCGGCGTCCTCTGCCCCTGAAAGGCTCTCCCCTAGACCCAGGACTGCTGATGCGCTCTTGATGTTTGATCTTGGTGGAAATGGAGTTACTGGCGATGTATCACAGATGAAGCGACCCTCCTCTGCTACTGGACATTCTCGAGTTCACAAAAGCCTGTCTTCTGGACTTCTCGATGCATCGATTGGGAAGAAAAATCGGATTGGTGACGATGGTCACTCAATGAACTCTTCTCGGCGTTCATCATCCACTGGTTCAGACTCGGATACATCTGGCGATGATCATGATGAATCAGCTGGACCTCGTGCCTCGAAGAAAGGGCGGTCGAAGGCCAAGAAGAGGCAAAAGAAGGTACGGTCTTGGGCCGGCGCGATATTAATTCGTAGTAAGGGCAAGCGGCATCACTCGAAGAAGGAAATTGTGGGAACAAACTCTGAAATTCCTCCACCGGTCATCACCAGAACCAACTCGGATCTCGGATCGGGGTTGGAGGTCGAATTTGACGATGATAACATCGTTGTCATCCGCACTCCCACAAATCCCAATGCTCCCGAATCGAGCCGGGCAGTCCTGGAGCCTAATGCGCAGCCATCATTCGAAAACTCCTGGAAGCCAAGAAGCTTCTACGAGCAAGGCGTACAGGATGATGCTCTCAGTCCAGTCATCGACTTGGATGCAGCTCTAGGGCCCTTCAACACACCTGATATGCAGGCCGGTAGAGGTACCGGAAGTGGATTTTCTGTTGCAACCAGACGTATGTACAGTGGTGGACGACGGGGTGAATTCGTCGGGCCTGAAATGCGCTATCATCGGCGTGCAGAGAGTGCTCCGGAGATGCCCCCTTTCGATCGCAGTTTCCTCAACAACCGCCTTATCAATTCGTCCACTCTGGAAAATCCCGATGTTTTCTATGAGGAAGAGGAGGACGCCTTTTTGGCAGCTACAAGTGAACCACCGAAGGACGAAGATCAAGCAGCCTCCAAATCTAATGTCGTTTCACAGCCGGACAATTCGGACCAGATAACGGTGAATAGCAAGGCCACCTCCGACACGTTGACTCGAAGGTCGGCGGATGCCGGATGCAGCACAGAACGCGCTGGCCTTGGCATCCACAACAATGAGGGAGCAGGACCGGCAACTCTCACCCCTGCTCCTGCGAGCCAGGAGACCTTTGGGGGTCCCGGATTATCTGCGCAGGAGAGGGCTGTTGATCAGCTCCACAGTGCTGAGAATCCTTTCACAGGCCACCCAAAAAGCCCGGTGGAAATCATCAAACACGAGAATTGGCAGAACAAACCGCCAGTCCCCCCTAGTCCTGAGATTTCACCAAGATTTCTGCCTGCTGACACCCGGCCGGCGACATCACCTCTAGAACTCACCGGCACCATTCCGCAATTTTCCCTGCAGGGTAGCTGTTCGCTATCTCAATCTTCTTTCCCGTCTCCGGACTTCACTTTATCTTCTTCCGATGCTCCTCGCTCTATCACAACAGCTTCAACGACAGATCACAACTTTTCCAATCCATCGTACAATCCATCTGTGGATTATCCTCAGACTTCAGTGGACGATGTACCGTCCTTGACCAGCAGTGTGTCGACAACAACAAATACATTGAATCGGTTCTCAGGGACCTTCTTCCATCGTTCTCGACTTTCCACTGACCGCTCGGCTTCTTTTTCCGCCGCTGGCACTCGCCGCAGCAGTCAAACTCACAGCCAGAAGAGGTCAAGCTTGGCTAGTTTATCCAAACTCGTTGGTGGTCCTCACGGCGAGAGAAGCAAACTTAGTTACGAGGAAAAGCCCCCGAGTGATGTTCTCGAGAAGTCGAAGAAGAAGAGCCGTCGTATCAGCCGTCTCATGCATTTTTGGAGGACGAAAGACAAGGAGAAGCTGAACGAGGAGGCTGTTCGAGAAGATCAGCCGTCATGAACAGTTTCCGCCCCTTCAACGAGTTCACTTTAATTCTGTACATATTGATCCACTTTATGAACGATTCATTCCGCACGGTCTATGCAGGTTCATTCCTTGCACGGCCATTCCAACCTTTCTGCTTTTCGCCCCTTTCGGTTGAGATTACTGACGAATCTCTTTTATCGGCATGTCCTTCAAGCGTAAGAGTATGATGCTCTGTTTCAATTTCTTGTCCCTCGTTGATGTCCGATTGTTGTTATGGGCAATCAATGCCGTTGCATTTACTTCTGTTCATTCATTTTTAGCCTCTTTTCTTCCTTCCTTCTACTTCTAATTACCCGGCGGTCATTTGCGCATTCGCCAACATCGTTGCATTGACTGTGGTGGCCACGTTGAATGGGCGCTTCTATTTTTTTTTTCTTGTCCCATAACGGAGATGCCTGTCACATTCATCCAGGCTTTTCAATTATCTTTGGCGTTACAAATTGCACATTTGTGAGGCTACATGTCAGTGAATCTACACTCCGATTGTTATTGTCAAATACGAGACATTTTCATGTCGAGAGCTTTTGAGGTCGATTGAAGGCCATGTAGTGTTCTTGGGCGTAGCTCGTGCATTACAGACAAAGTCATGTTTGTTTCCTGCAGACTAGTTCCAATGTGGTACCCATTTCACAGTGTTAAGGAGCATGATGAATAGGTACCAATGTTGTAGGCAGTAAACCTGTCAACGCTCGGCATAAATCTGAATCGGTGGATGACGGGCCGAATACAACGCAAAAAATACATAACCAAAGCCAGGCAACAAAATGAAACCCAGCAACCCAATCAAAAGCCACACCTGCAACAATATATATTTAAGAACATGGGGCCACCAAGATCCGGGGCCTCGAAGAAATCCACATCAAAGAGCCATCCCGGTCGCGACAGCCGGAAAGAAAAGAAAAGGCCGCAACAGGCATCGTCACGACATGACCAGGCCGGTCAGGATGGGAACCAGATCGATCTCTCCGCCACCATCCCGCTGACACTCCAGCAACTGCTGCTGAACGTGTTCAAGACGGCTTTGCTTCCAGGTGACGGGCCGCATGACCGTGGCCACCAAGATAAACATACAGCACAAACGCCAAGGGCTGAGACCGAGAGCGAATCCGAGGCTCAGACGACCGCCCCCGCAGGAAAAGAAGAATTAGATATCAAGTCTCTGGTCCAGACCATCAAGTCCCATTTGTATAACCGGGACTTTGACTCGGCGTTCACAGATGCCGATGGGGACCTCTTGCGCGCTTATGCGCTGCGTTGGAGTGCATCCCGCGCGCTGGGGTATGCGGGGATCTTCAAGTCTGTGTTGCGGACGCTGTTGTGTGGAAGTGATGGAGATGGCGATGGAGCTCAGGCCCAGACTCAGGCCCAGGCCCAGGCTCAGGCGAATGAGACGAGCCATATCGTCTGTATTGGGGGCGGAGCCGGTGCAGAGATCATGGCGCTTGCGGCTGCGTGGCGGGATTTGATGGACGAGACGGTGCTCTCGGATGGTGTTGGGACGGTTTTGTTGGAGGATGAGAGCGGCGGTCAAGAGCAAGACACAGCCCCAGCTGCGACTTCGTCGCCACGGCTGGCTGTCACGGCTGTTGATATCGCCGACTGGTCGAGTGTCGTGGATCGGTTGGCGCGGACGATCCGGTCTCCCGCCGTTACGTGCACAAAGGCGCATCCTGCGCCGCTACAGTCACAGGGTGCACACGGCTTCGTCGTCCGATTTGAACGCTCGGATGTCCTCTCGCTGGCTGAGGAGGGATTGAGGAAGATACTGCATTTAGACAGCGCGGCGGCACCGGCCCGCACGGTCCTGGTTACGCTCATGTTCACGCTTAACGAGCTCTTCTCGACGTCTATGGCCAAGACGACGGCGTTCTTGCTCCGCGCGACGGATCTCCTAAACCCGGGGACTCTCTTTCTGGTTGTTGATAGCCCGGGTAGCTATTCGACTCTGAAATTGGGAAAGTCGGCCCAGAAGGACGCGGAGGCGGATGGCGCCTCGGCGGCGCCGCAGGAGAGACGGTATCCGATGAAGTTTCTACTAGATCATACGCTATTGTCGGTTGCGGCGGGGAAGTGGGAGAAGATCTATGAGCAGGATTCACGCTGGTGGAGGAGGGATGCGGCCAGGCTGCGGTATTATGTTGGTGAAGGAGCGGGGTTGGAGGATATGCGGTTCCAGATTCATGTGTATCGCAGGTTGGCTGATTAGGGACAGCGACAGCGACAGCCAGATCACTATATGTGGCGGCTATGAGATAGATTTATGACAATGATACCATATGTGCGACTTGTGGAGAGGAATGGATATACTATTGCTACAGATAAAGGACTATGAGTAAAGAGAATCGGAGGAACAACCAGACAGCATCAATTCGCCAGGAGATCATGCAAGCCCAAATCCCCATCCCGTTAAAATAAATGAGATCGATACAATAAAAATGTCACATTGGGTGACCGGCCTCGTGCCTTGTTTTCTTCAAGCACCCGGACTCCTTCGTTCCGCTGTCCCTTAATTTCTCAGACCGAGCAGAAGACTTGTGCTCTTTCCACCTTCCTTGCCGTCGTTGCCGGGTAGGTAGGTGACGTTGGGATTATTCGCCAGCGTCTGAGCAATATCCTTGGTGGCATCGATCCGACGAATCTCAATAAGACCACTACCGGCCTTGGCGACGGCCTTGCTGATGATTTCGGCACTCTCGGCTTCACCCTCAGCACGGATAACGTTCGCCTGACGCTCCTGCTCGGCTCTCTCGACGATGAACCGGGCCCGCTCGGCGTCCTGCTGTGCGATCTGCTTCTGCTCGACAGCCCGCGTGAACTCCTTTCCGAAGGTCATGTGCGTAATGGAGACATCTTCCAGGGCGATGTTGAACTGCGCGGCGCGCTTCAACAAGTCGGTGCGGATACGGTTCGAGACGGCCTCTCGTTGTGTGATGAGCTCTGCGGCGTCGAACTGGGCCACGATGGCTTTGAGGACCTCGTTTCCGATAGAGGGGAGGACACGCTCGTCGTAGTCGGTACCGTAGGTCTGTCCTACACGTAAGAAAATGCCTCGATTCAAGCCTTCGAGCAATGTGGACTCACCTGGTAGATGACCGGGAGCTTCGGGACATCAGGGCGATGCAAGACTCGCAGGGTCAAGCTCACCATCTGCAAGTCCTTACTTCCCGTTGTAGTGGAGATGTTGCGAGGCTTGGTTCGGACATCATAGACAATCGCCTTCTGCAGCCAAGGAATCAGGAAATGCGTGCCCTCGTTGACGACCTTCTCCTGGACACCGGACAATCGGTCGAAGATGACCGCCCGTGTTCCACCGCGGACATCGTAGATGGAAGCGTTGAAAATCATCGCACCCGTCGCCACGGGAATGGCAAGGCGGTAGAGATTGTACAGACCGTTAGCCGCCATGATGGATGAGATGGATTGTGATGGGGAACGTAGTCGTTAACACTAATAGAAGGTGGTCATGTACTGCGGTCTCTCATTTGATGATGTCGGGCTTTTCGCATGCTGTCCCGATCAGGACTAGTGCCGGACGCAGGGCCAAACCTCCCAACTTCGCCGTTTTGGCCCGACTCGACCTCGTCTCTCTTTCTGCTGCTGCTCTCGCCCTGTGCTGCTCATCCACACTTCTTTTCTCTGCACTTTCCGGTTCTCCCAATAATATCTACAATGGGTGGTCATCTTGATCCTAAGAGTGGAGTGTGAGTTCTCTCAAATTGCGGTCTCAGGCGGCTTTCATATCCCTACGATCCGTGGGCGGTTGTATTCCTTCATCAGAGGAAGGCGGCTGTCAACTCTTCTTTTCGTCCTAAATAGCCATTGGCAGAAGATTGATTGATTGATTGGATGCGCTGACATTATGTCTACATGTAGTTTTCTCGGCGACTGGGGTGATCTCGGTAGGTTTATGGACCCCGACCTCGATCTGTGAACATTTCAGAGATGCAGCCGACGGACGGGCATTCGGATTTCTAAGACGCTTTGAAGCCCTGGAGACCGTTCCAAGCGATTTCGATCAACGCAGAATGCGACATTCGATATCCTAATTGGTGCTAATATTCCGTTTCTTGCTCCCTAGGCTGCCCGACCCCCCAGCGCATTGCCACCTACTCTCTGTCTTCCAACCGTCAGCGCCCTCTCGCTGGTACTTTCCACGCTGCCATCTTCAACACCTTCCGCAGATTCAGACACCAGGTCCTCTACGTCGTTCCTCCTTTCGTTGCCGCTTACGCCGCCATGAACTGGGCTATTGAGAGGTATGCGGCCTCTTGTCTTGCATCTCACTTCGCTCTTCGGGCTTTAGACAACCGCTGATTGTCTTTTTGTCTAGAAACGAGTACCTCAACTCCAAGCCCGGCCGTGAGGCTGCGGGTGTCGAGGAATAAATGGATGACTTTTCTTTACCTTGAAAAGGAAAAGTATGATATGAGTCAGGCCGTGGGGTCAGGAGGAGGGTGCTCGGTGATTGCAATGTACAGTAACTAGAAAGCAATCAATCGTTCTTGTCTGTCTGGACTGTTGTTGGTAACGATCGCGTCTGGTCATTGACTTTAAGAGATCGGTACATTCGGCTATCACCGCCATGGAAGCATCGCGTTTAGCATTAAAACATGTTTAACAGAATGCTAATTTATTGTACAATGCTCGGTATACAGGACGGAAGTATTTAAGGCGTTGAGATATGATAGACTTCCACTGTTGTCCTCTGTAGTCAATTAAGGTAGCATGACTTTAGGAGAACTCTTATTGGCTCAATTCAAGTTCTCCGCTGTCGCCTGATTTCTCAGGCTGTCTTCGATACTGCTACGTAGCGAGTGCACTTCTAACTGCATCTTCGAAGACTTCTACGAAATCGAGTTAGGCTGCTCAGTAGGCATTGTAGGCATACGCATGACTGCGCAGCGGTATACTCCAGTCCATGTTTGGTCCAGTGGCTGGGCTGGATTTCAAGACCGATCAGTTCTGGCTGATGTCAACATATCCCCAGGATGCGCTCAAACAAACCCTCTCGCTGGGCGTACTATCCTGTGACAACTGCAGCCGTAGGGCGATAGTTGTGGACGAACCCTGCGTCTCTCTTCAGAGATTGTTGGGCCCATACAGACGCTGCTGTTTACAGGGGCAAACAGGGACGTCTACAGATTGGGATCACATCCGAAAGATCGTTCGAACTGTATTCCACTTCTGCATGCCCCGAGATATGGGTATTTGGAGATCGTGTACAGGCTTCCTGCTGCTCGTGGAATGAATCCAGATCGACCTAGATGCTGGGATACTTCCCTTTCAGTACGTGCAATCAATGGCATATCAAAATCATGAAGCACCTGCTTGCCATTGGAGGTGTGTGGATCTAGCGCCAAAGAATAATCACGGATGAACTGCCCTATCCTTGGTCGATGGAAACGGGTATCTCCAGGCGGTTGAGCTCTTGCTCTCGACAGGATGGTGCCGCATATTGCACTATGAGGATACCATTGTATATGCAGCGGAAGACGGTCGGTGTCATAACCGTCAATGTCACCAAGGAAGGGGAGGGAAATTACCTACAGAATTGAGAAGCTGATCGTAAGAGACGTGAAGAGGTCAGGTCACATACAGACAGTGTACTCCGTAGTACCCAGAGGGGCCCCACTGTGCCCAAGAAATCTCTCTCTAGTCCTATCAGAACTTCTCAACGAATACAAAAGATTTTGAAGGCAGAAAAAAGCAGAAAAGGGTAAAAGAAGGGAGAAAAAACTTCCCACGTTAAGTCCAATCAGGCAGTCAGGCACCCAGGCCAACTTTCCACCCCCCACTCCCGCATGCGCTTCTTTCTTCCTGCTCCTCCAAAGACTTCATTTCTTCCTTCTTCTCTACGTCTGCGTCTTGCTTCTCCCTCTCCATTCTCTGTTCTTCGTCTTCATCCTCCTCGTCGGCGTCCTTTCCACTCCATCACCATGTCTGAGATCACTCACCCCACTATCAAGGGTATGTTACTCTCTCTTCCTCACGTATTGTCTATCGATACTTTATCGGTGCATCACCACCAGCCCCTCCATCACTTTTTCCAACTACCCCGCTTCCGGCACATCGCCAATGATTACAATCCTATCCGTCAATGGTTTCTGTCCAACCTCGATCTACGTTGACCCAACATCAATTGCTTTACCTAATTGCTTTTTTTGCGTCGCTTGAATCAATCTCGCTGACAACACCTCAGATGGCTGGTTCTCCGAGCAGTCGGACATGTGGCCCGGTCAGGCCATGAACCTCAAGGTCAACCAGATCCTGCACCACGAGAAGTCCAAGTACCAGGATGTCCTTGTCTTCGAGAGCACCGACTACGGCACCGTCCTCGTTCTGGACAATGTCATCCAGTGCACCGAGCGGGATGAGTTCTCGTGTGTTTTCCCGCCCACCGCACAATATTTTCCGGCAGCCTCTAATCAAGTTTTCTTTGTGTCGCTGCAGGTACCAGGAGATGATTACTCACCTGGCCATGAACTCCCACCCCAACCCCAAGAAGGTCCTGGTCATCGGTGGTGGAGATGGTGGTGTCCTCCGTGAGGTTGTCAAGCACGAGTCCGTCGAGGAGGCCATCCTGTGCGACATTGACGAGGTATATTTTTATCTACAATAGTTGCGGATGATGTCAATCGCTGACTTGTCAAGGCTGTCATCCGTGTCTCCAAGAAGTACCTCCCCGGCATGAGCATCGGCTTCCAGCACCCCAACGTCAAGGTCCACGTCGGCGACGGCTTCCAGTTCCTCAGGGACCGCAAGAACGAGTTCGACGTCATCATCACCGACAGCTCTGACCCTGAGGGTCCCGCCGAGAGCCTCTTCCAGAAGCCCTACTTCGAGCTCCTGCGCGATGCTCTTCGTGACGGAGGTGTCATCACCACACAAGGTTGTTCGTCGCCTTTCCTTTCTCCCATCTGCCCTTTGTCACCTTTCCCTCTCCTGTCACACCTCTTCCTTCCTCTCATTCTCTTCCTCGCCGATTCACACCCCCACTCATCGTTATCTGTATTTTTTATTTTCTTTTTATTTTTTTTAATCTTTTTTTTTTTTTTTTTTTTTTTTTTTCTTTTTTTTTTTTTTTTTTTTCCCTCGCACCCACATCTCTTCTCTTTCCCCCTTAGAGTGCCACTTCTCGCGGAGCACAAGCACATACTGCCTAGCTCATTGCACTTTCAATTGTCATTGAGTGTACGTGTGTACTCTTGTCTTCACTTGCCGTCATGGAT